TCGTTCGTCAGAATTGGGAATTTTTTATGACAACTTCCTAGACAAGAAAATGTGCTCCACGTTAATCTATTATTTGGATCTTTGGGATTTTATTATATCCTTTGCGTCTCCAGTCGCAATATGTTTCTATTAATTCTTTATTACTTCCTAGTTATTTTTTATAAAGGCCATCCAAAGGTCAACTTGCATTGGTATAAATCTTCGGCATTTCAGAAAATAATAATGCAACATTGAACTCAATAAAAAGAGTTGATTGATAGCCACTTATTATCATATATTTTATATTTCTAATACTTTCACGAAAACACAATTTACTCTTTCTCTTCCCTATCTAGAGATAAATAAAAATCTACAAACATATTCAATGAACACACTATGACCATCATATCAACAGCATCAGTTTTAATACACATTCGGCCGGTTTGTTAAAATTGTGCCAGGCCCGACCCAGTGAATTTTCATAAATACAGACGTAGAAATAAAGGCATATCTGTCTATATATCTGATAGATATACATTTAATACCTATTTGACCAGTTGATATGCATGTCCAGACGGATAAATATGCATTTATTTCTTTATTTATGCATGTCAAGTATACGAATATTCTTTGGGTTGGGCCTCGCACAATTCTAACAAGCCGGCAGATTACGTCGGGATTATTCCACAAACAAGTAAAATATACACAAGGATCTCTAAACCCGAGGTGCCAAGGGAACTGCATCACCATTATAACCTATTGTTCTATAGCCCATTGAACTCTCGTCCACCAAGATACATGTGACCTAACTTTGCTCTGTCAAATCACCATTGATTCACGCTTTGGGTTATTGACCTCCAGTTGACCTAGGATGGTTTAGATGAGCTGTAATTGAGTTATTACAAATGAAGCTTAACAGAAACACAGACTGAAAGATAGATAGGCGTACAAACTGTACAACAGTTAGGAAGGCTTTCAAGAGATAAAGATATATAGACAGATACAGCGTTATAGATATATATAGAGGGAGATATATAAAGACAAAAAATATTGTCAGACAGAGAGAGAAATATTCAACCACTATACACACTGGAAGGAGTGGAATTGGTATGGAACAAAAGAGATAGACACAGAGAGTATTAAAGTTAAAGAGACGAAAGACGAACAAGATTCTGGAAAGACTTAGATAAAGAGAGAGAGAGAGAGAGAGAGAGAGAGAGAGAGAGAGAGAGAGAGAGAGAGAGAGAGAGAGAGAGAGAGAGAGAGAGAGAGAGAGAGAGAAAGCGAGAGAGCGAGAGAGAGAGAGCAGAGAGAAAAGCGAGAGAGAGAGAGAAAGAAAGAGAGAGAAACAAAAGAAACAAAGCGAGGGGAGATCAATCACCCACCCCCCTCCCCATCCCCCCCTTCCCCCCCCTCCTCCCTCTCCCTCCCGATACCATCCCTGAGAAATCGGCTTCTCGGTTGCCAGCTACGGAATTCCGCCTCCCCGAGAGAGCTTCGCTTTAAATTCACTAACTGTCAACTGTGTACCGTCCCGTAATGACATCTCAAATTTTATCACCTCTCCCGCAGGTGTTTTCCTAAGGAATTCAATTTCGGAACTCGAGACCCTAGTCATCAGGTGAGGAGCCGGCATCGGGTATAGAACTCCAATTTTGGATTTACAGTAATTAGTCTGCAGGTGTATTTACGGGTTATATTAAGTCGAAGGGGCGAATGGATGCTGTTCGGGAGTGTCTTGTCGTCTTCCTTTTTTTTTCTTTGTCTCTGGATCTCTCTCTTATCTATCTCTCTTATGTCTTGCTGTCTATCTGTTGATTTGTCTAAAGATCTGTTTCTCTTATCTATTTGTCTGTCTATGTATGTATTTATATAGGTATCGGTACATCTGTGTATTTTATATCTAAATTATAAATGGTTATAATCAAGCCCTCTTTCTCTAATCAAACTCTTCTCTCTCTCTCTCTCTCTCTCTCTCTCTCTCTCTCTCTCTCTCTCTCTCCTCTCTCTCTCTCTCTCTCTCTCATCTCTATCTCTCTACGTCACTCACTCTCACTCACTCTCTCTCTCTCATCATCTCTCTTCTATCTCTATATATATATATATATATATATATATATATATATATATATATGTGTGTGTGTGTGTGTGTGTGTGTGTGTGTGTGTGTGTGTGTGTGTGTGTGTGTGTGTGTGTATATATATATATATATATATAGATATGTATGTATTTGTATATATTTTATACATGTCAATATCTATCTATCCATCTGGCTATATATCGATCTATCTGCCTATCTATCTATCCATTTACCTATCTGTATATCTATATATATCTATATATCTATCTATCCTTTACCTATCTATCTCTATATCTATCTATCTATCTATCTATCTATCTATCTATATATATATATATATATATATATATATATATATATATATATATATATATATATATA